ACAGCCCAAGATGCCAGAAGCGATGATCCCAGCGACGAAGGTTTTCCTGTTCCGGACGACTCAATGCAATCGCATCAAAGATCGTGAGCGTAGACGCGGTTTCGTCAGTCTGAGACTCGATCTCGACGGTCTTGAAACCTGCTTCGTCATCGACAGCTCGGCTACTAGCTCGTCGTGCTACGCTCGGATGATAGTCCTCATCACCAACTGACGCTGCTTCTGCCTCTTCTTGAGCCTTTCCCTCTTGAATCGTGTACAGCTTCCGGTAGATACCTTCTTTAATCGCAACCAATCCTGCCTTCCTCCACTACATGACCAGCATTCACCACCACAATCTTGTCAGCTTTGCGGATTGAGCTCAGCCGATGAGCGATCACCAGCGTCGTCAGCCGAGTTTTGTCCATCAGATCGTTCAAAGCAGATCGAACTATACGCTCAATCTCTGCATCAAGTGCACTTGTCGCCTCGTCCAGCACCAGAATCTTCGGTTCATGCACAATCGCTCGGGCGATGGCTACACGCTGCTTCTGACCGCCTGACAACGACACACCCTTCTCACCTACCAGTGTGTCATACTGCTCTGGTAACGACATGATGAACGTGTGTGCATTCGCCAGCTTCGCCGCGGCCACAATCTGGTCACGAGTGATGCCATTCCCACCCGCTGCGATGTTCTCCAAGATGGTAGTAGCGAACAGTACAGGCTCCTGAGAGACAAGACCGATCTGTGACCGTAGCCATTTCACGTTCAGCGTCTTCACCTCTCTTCCATCCAGTAGGATGGTACCGTCTTGAGGATCATAGAAGCGTTCAAGCAGCGAGATGAGCGTACTCTTGCCACCTCCACTCGCACCTACAAAGGCGACAGTCTGACCAGCCTCGATGGTGACGTTGTAGTCGTGTAGAATCTGCACATCCGGTCGACTCGGGTACGTGAAATTTACGCCAACAGCCTGGATACGACTAACGCAAGAGTCAGGTCTTTCTCCAGCTTCTTCATTCGAGGCATCAATTGCAGACGCAGTGTCCAGAATCTTGTATATATGTGCAGCAGCGCCCTTGGCTTCAGCTATAGCTGACATAATGGGCTTGATCTGACCAAGCGAAAGCGTCCCCATGAGTACACCAAAGAACGCTTGAAACACGTCTGAGGGCGAAGTCTTATCACGCGCTACCTTGGACCCACCGTACCATAGACCGATAGCGTACATGAGCCAGATACACCCCATGAAGAACGCGCGACGAGAGTTTCCCCACTTGGATGTTAGTCTCTTCGGCAGCCAAAGCACGTTCGTTGTACTTGTCGATCGCTCTCTTCTCGGCGTTAAGAGACGACACAGTGCGAATAGATCCGAGTGTCTCCTCCGCAACAGCTCCAGCCTCTGCATACATCTGCTGGGAATGCACCGCTCGTTTCTGCATGATCTTGAGCAGCGCACCCATCGATCCGGCCATGAATGGCATCAAACAGGACATCAACAGTGCGATATCCCACCCACGTACAAGACCGATGATGTATCCAGAAAAGAACTGACAGATGAAACGAGCGGCGTCTCCGAACTTCTGGCCCATTCCGTCTTTGATCTTGACGATATCACCCGTCATTCGACTTGACAGTTGCAACGGATCGATCTTGTCGTACCAACTGATGTCGAGATACAGCAAATGTTTCAACATCTCGGTACGCAACTCTTTCATCTGCCGCTCCGCAGTGTAGGCGAACAGCACTCCGGACGAATAGTCGGTCACGAAAAGTGCAATGGAGATAAGAAAAAAATCCAAAGCTGCAGAGTTCACTGCATCTCGATCCACTCCACCGTCTGGCTGAGCGAAGGAATTGATGGCGTCACCGAACACAAGAGCCATACACGGGAACAGTGCACCGCCGATTCCGGACATGGTGAAGCCCAGAGCGAGTAGAGCCTTGTCCATGGGTGTGGCGTACCGGTACAATTGCGAGAACGCAACAGTCTCAATTGGTTCGTCATCTTTGGGCTTCGATGAGTTATCGTTGGAATCTTGCGGGTCGTTTTTGAAGTCGTTTGGTGTTTTGGCAGTCGACATGGGGGTCACAACTTGGCGGTAGTCCGTACTTGGAGCTTCGACGTCGTCCGTCTTGACTGGTGGAGGCGCCATGGCGGCCACGTGGGGTGAAGCTTGTAGGAAACTCGACTGGAGGACTTGGCGGTAAGTTTGAGAATGAACTGCCCGAAGGTTTCCCTTGAAAGACAAGAATATGCTGCGATGGTACGATGATTATCCCCAGCACAATGTTTATTCCAATCACACGGTAAAAATGTACTGATATGTATTATGTTTGTGCCGAGCTTGTGGATTACTTCAAGCTCTTTATTTTCTTATATCAGTAAACATAGGTGAAATTTGCATCTGAGTAAGTGATAAAACTAACCGAAGCTAAGTACGCAATTAGCTTCGCTTTCACAACCATTCCTACGTCTACCCAGATACGCAAAACAGATACAGATCTCCCCCTGAATAAGCGTAGCTTGTACTTCATATACCTCTTTATATCGGATAACATGGAATGAGGTACGTTTCGCAAATCAAAAGATAGCCCAGAATTACCTATGAAAATTAATTAGATAACTTACATTAAGTATAATAATATTAATAAGTGAAGTGTATTGTGTTACTGGCGGACCTTGATTCACCTGAACTCTAATACCCATTCTCGCCAGACTAGTCTTGTTCTGCCGAGTTTCCCTGTCTACCTTGGGGTTTATGCCTCTGCTCCCCCTTCTCTTTCCTCATTCTACTTCATCAAAGTCCCTTCATCTCTTCTTCGCTCTTCCCAATGACCGACATCGCTCTGCATGAGGTCTTGGATACTTGTGCTCAGCGGGTGTTCCCCCGCTTCGCCCATTGACATGTAAACTTTGCTCACCGAGTGATCCATTGCGTAGTTTGCCAGCCAGTCTGCCGCTTTATTGTAGCTCCAGTAATGATGCGTCCAGGACTCCACTCTGCACTTATCTGCCAGACGTCGTGCCATTCTGTGCCAGTGCAACAATTTTTTGGCCCTCGGCTGGCTCCGCCGCTTCATTATTCCCAGTATCATGGCGCTGTCTCCTACAATGTGAAGGCCGTACCATTGCATTTCTTGTGCTTTCTTCAACACTCTATGTAGACCGATGAATTCCGCTTGATTGTTGCTGACTTGCTGGTGGCCTAGAGACGTCGCCGCCGCCCAAATCAGCTTCACTGTCTTGCGTAGTCCGTCGTACTCTACAATCACACTCCCACTTCCACCTTTCCCTGGATTACCGCGTGAACCTCCATCAAAGAATCCTATACGGAGGGGGTGATCGGGTTTATTCTCCTCCCCTATAGCCTCTCGTGCCGCTCTACAGTGCTGTACAATGTGACTAGCCGTCTCCAACTTCCACTTGCTTCGCCTTGTGACCGGAAAAAGCGCTGTATGATACCTCTGCAGTGACTCAATAATTGCCTTGCTGGTTTGTCTTAAAAAACCTTCCGCAGTGATCATCGGCCCCTCTGTCTGGTATGCCTGATTTACTCTCCACCTCCATAAGGCGGATATGGCTACTGTACATCCCAAGGCCCACATATCTTCTGCCACTTGATGTATATGGTCCCAACATTCCTCTGGTTGGGTCATTCCCCACTCTGCAAGCCAAGTAGGCAGTCTCGGCAGGTGGAGTGCCAACAGCTCTGAGATCTTCATATTTACTGACTGCTCATATTGATCCCCGTCTCGAATTGGTTTGCTGAAAAGATGGAGCCACTGTCCCCACATGTCCTTGGCATCCGGGCATTCCCAGACTAGGTGAGCTTGTCCCCTGCCTTCTCCTTCCATCTGCTCCGTGCATCTCGCCCCTGAGCATACGTAGCCTTTCTTGTCCGTGGCCCATATCTGTAGCCTCCAGTGTTTCAGCCTCATCAGATTTTGTACCTGATACGGCGTCGCCCCTGTCACCTTGTGCAGTCTGTCCCATCCGAGCAATTGAAGTGCCGAGGCCATTGGTTTGTTCTTTCTGGCCCCTTTTTCGGCTATTTGCTTGAGTTTGTTATGGGCCTTTTGCTTCTTTTGCTTGGTAATCACCTTCTTGTAACCTTTCCTGGTTTGTGCCCAGCGTCTTCTTCCCGCCCATAGTGGTTGCATTCCGGTTAGCCACGGATGTGGCACTATCCAAACCTGCCGCTCATTTGTGTCTAGGGATGCCGCTATTGCTGTGGTCAGTTCCATGTCCTTGGCTACCTTCTGTAGATGCGTACTCCAGCCATGCATGACCTGCTTCCGTGCTCCGCTGTTGTCTACCCAGAATTGATGATGTGGATCATCCAGGCCATGGCTCACTCGTAGCACCTTGTCTTCGGTGGGTTTGTACGCCAGCTCGGGAAATTGGGCTAAGAAGGAGAGGCATAGCTCCCTAAACTTGTGAGCCATACTGCTTGTCATAGGGAGCTGTAGCGACACTGGCGAGAAGGTCACTATTCCCTTTGCTTCCCAGATAATCTGGATTATATCTTTGACTCTGCATCCTTTCGTACCATTTAGTAGTGATCGGTAAGCCGAACCCGGTTTGATGGTTCCGAGTGCGTCTCGCCACTGTATCTTCTGTATCCCTAGGTTCCCTACTGCGTGATGAATATAGTCTCCTCGGGTAAGCCTGCGATGCCTGCGCATC